TATATAATGTTAAAAATGAAAGCCCCTCACCCAGCCCCGTTCTCCAGAGATAACCACTATTAACAGTTTGGTGTGCACACTTTAATTTTTATATACTTGCTGACCTATTTTTATTACATAAATGAGATCAAATTAACCATACTATTCTGAGATTTGCTTTTCTTCATGTAACAATATATCTTGGAGATATTTTCATACCATTACATATAGACCTGCCTTGTTCTTTTTCATGGTTGAATATTATACTATTGTTTCTAATGTACCATGATGCATTTTAGTCAATCTTGTACTGATAAATATTTAAGGTACTTTTAATTTTGGGGAGGGAGAAATATAAAGAGGTTTCTGAAAATGACATGTAAGAAGCCTCCTCATGTATAATTTTCATGACAATGACAAATATTTGCAAAACACTCATATATCTCCATCTCACCCTCATAACCGACTCTATAATGGAGTTACCATTATCCATACACAGACAAAAAAGATGAGATTGTTTAGTCCAATGCAGTCATCATGTGCACCTTTGCTGTGATAGTGATCACTGGGTGTCCCCTTCCTCCTACATGATATAAAAGCCATCCTTTTGTCTTTGGTGACCCATTGGTAATGGGTGTCCTTGGCATCCATTATAACTGGATGCACTGCCAGATGAAAGACTCCATGTCTTTCACCCCTAGAGGTGGTTTTTTAAACAGTTAATTAGTCCATAATGGTTATTACTTCCTCACTCTATAACAGTGCCATATTTCTATTTCCAACAGCTATTAAAAATAATTTCTTTTTTTGTTGTGTTCAAAATATACATAGCATAACATATCCATTCAACAGTTTATAAACGTTCAACTCAGTGACACTGATTACATTCCTCAAGTTGTGCAACCATTCTCACCCTCCTTTTCCAAATTATCCCTCCCCCATTAACATGAACTCCCTGTCCCCCTCAGCTTCCTATTTAAGCTTTTGGGTTGCTGTTGCCAATTTGATCCCAGCGTAGTGCCTAAGGCATTGGACTGCTAACCAGAAGGCTGGCAGTTCAAACCCACCAGCTACTCCTTGGAAGGAAGACTGGCCCATCTACTTCCATAGAGATACCTCCTCAGAAACCCAAGGAGGGGTCACTGTGAGTCGAATTCTCCTCGACAGCAGTGAGTGAGAACAAGCTTTTTTTTTTTTTTTAAAGAGCACGATGTTCAGGGCAGACATTCTTTACTAATTAAGCTAAACTATTGTTTGCTCTAAGGGATCCGTGGTCACACAATGGTTAAAGCACTTGGCTGCCAACCAGCCTTGGAAACCCTGCAGTTCTACACTGTCCTATAGGGTCACTATGAGTTAGAATTGACTCGATGGCAGTAGGTTTGGTTTTGGTTTGGTGGTGTGAAGGTTAAGCGCTCAGCTGCTGTGGTAGTTTGGTTTGTGTGTGAACTTGGCTGGGCCTGAGTAGCTGGGCAGCTGGTGGCATTAATTCCCATGAGGAGACTGGCAATCAATTCCATGGTGGGATCTACCACAAGCAGTTGAGTAGCTGCCTTTGGGTATGTGGTCTGCTTCCTGTATTTAAGCAGAAGCCTTGGGAATGGTCTCTAGCATATGGCACACTTGGACCCTGCATGTAGCCGTGTCATTGCTCAGCAGCCTGCTATGCTCTGCCGACCTTGGGACTTACAGTGGACTTAAGTTAATGGTCTGCCATGTGGTTCGATAACATCGGGACTGTGCCTTTTTACTTGTCAACCTTGGGGCTTCACAGCCTCAGCAGCTAGCAGCTGTCTGAGTGAAGAAAAGTCTCAAGCTCCAGTGGGCTGGGAGCAGGAGGCAGAGCTGGACCCCAAGGTTGAGGGGCTTTCACCCAGCCCCTAGAGCCTGGCACTTTGAAATTGGACTTAAAGCCTCCAAATTGTAAGAATAAACTCCTGTTTGTTAAGGCCATCCCATTTGTGGTATATTTCTTATCAGAGTGGCACTAGGTAACCAGGACAGCTGCTAACCAAAAGTTGGTGGTTATTTATAATTTTTGAAGATACATCAGTGAGAAAACCATTCTTTGAAAAATGAGAAACGTTCTGTGCGCTTCTAAACCCAGACATTGTTCAGTATACAGCAGGGTTTTACAGGCAAGTTAGTGACGTATCAAAGCAAACTACAAGTGAGTCATTTGTGGATTCGATTATTGGTGAATTCCCTTCAAGCTCTAAAACTGTGCAGATCTCTAAGGGGAGATTTTTTGGTTTGGCTGAGATGGCCTCCCAATCTGCTCCATACTCCGGTTCTGGTTTTAGGACATCTCTTGCAGCTGGGAACCTTTACAGCACACACAAAAGTAAAATGAAGTCAATCCCCCCCGTTTGGTAATTTCTCAGAATAAGATAGTGTAAGCAGGGTGAATCTTTCATTTTCATTTACAATGGAGAGGTAACAATTATTTGACAAACCATAATTCAGTAACCTTTGAGAATAGGGGAAGAAAGATGGGGTAGAAGTGAAGGAGGGGGAAAAATGGAAGTAGAATCCACTTTTGACATTAATTCACTACATCTCTCATTGCTTACTGAAGAAGAGTCAGAGAAATACTCGTCTTAGTTGTGTAAAAATTAATATGATACGAAGTTAAAAAACCACCACCACCAAACTCACTGCCCTGGAGTCAATTCACCTCATAGCGACCCCTCCTTGGGTTTCCGACATGGTATCTCTACAGAAGTATGTTGCACAATCTTCCTTTTGAGGAGTGGCTGGTGGGTCTGAATCTCCAGCCTTCTGGTTAGCAGTCAGATGCCTTAGGCAGTATGCTACCAGAGCTCCTCATGGCCTAACCTCTGGTGATGTAGTGTCAAAGGCATTTGACTGCTAACCAGAAGGCTGACAGTTCAAACCCACCAGCCACTCCTGGGAAGGAAGATTGGACAATCTACCTCTGTAGAGATACTGCCTCAGAAATTCAAGGTTGGGGAGCTATGAGTCAGATCCAATTCCACAGCAGTGAGTTATGAATTTTATTCAGTTAATATATTTATCTAATCCCTACTATGTACCAGGCACTGTGCTAAGTCCTGGGAATAAAATGGTGACTAAGACACAGATTTTGTTCTCAAGGAACTCACAGTCTAATGATAGAGGAACACGAAAGAGAAAACTGTGATACATTATTGGAGATACAAATAGAATACACAGAAGCTCTGTATATACAATAGGATATTGGGGCTCTGGAGGCATAGTGCCTTATGGCATTTGACTGGTAACCAGAAGGTTGGTGGTTCAAGCCCACCAGCTGCTCCATGGAAAGAAGATGGGACAATCTACTTCTGTAAAGATTTACTGCCTTGGAAACCCAATGGGGTTTGCTATGAGTTGGAATTGACTTGATGGCAGTTATTATATATTTTTTAATACAGAAGCTCAGAGGAGGCAATGTCCAACTGGCTTCTTCAAGGAAGGTGGTACATACAGTGACCTTTGTTGTTGTTGTTGAGTTGTCTCTGAATCATAGTGACTATATACAACAGAAAGAAACACTGCCCAGTCCTGAGCCATCCTCACAATCCTGATGCTTGAGCCATCATTGCAGCCACTGTGTCAATTCATCTTGTTGAGGGTCTTCCCCTTTTTCATTGGCCCTCCACTTTACCCAGCATGATATTCTTCTCTAGGGAATAGTCCCTTCTGACAACATGACATAGATGAGACAAAGTCTGACCATTCTTGCTTCCAAGAAGCATTCAGGCTGCGCTTCATTCACGACAGATTTGTTCATTCTTCCGGCAGTCCATGGTATTTTCAATATTCTTTGCCAACACTGTAATTCAAAGGCATCAACTCTTCTTCACTGTTCATTTCATTATCCAGCTTTCACATGCGAATAAGGAGATTGAAGATATCATGGTTTGGGTTAGGTGCACCTTAATCTTCAAAGTGACATCTTTGCTTCCTAACACTTTAAAGAGGTCTTTTGCAGCAGATTTGCCTATTGCAATGCGAAGTCTGATTTCTTGACTGCTGTTTCCATGGGTGTTGATTGTGGATCCAAGTAAAATGAAATCCCTGACAACTTCAATCTGTTCTCCATTTATTGTGATGCTGCTTATTGGTCCAGTTGTGAGGATTTTTGTTTTCTTTATGTTGAGGTGTAATCCATAATGCAGACTGTAGT